GGTGGGGGAGGGATGAGAGTCAGTTGGCATGCAGGAGCGCAGCAACAGCTGGGTGGGAACATGGGGCCCATGCTGGTCCCCCGGGGCCACCACTAGTGGGGGTCCAGAGCAGGGTGGCAGGAGCACAGGGCCCAGGCCAGCAGGGGTTCTGGAGCCAGGCCGGGCTGCACCAGCAGGAAGAGTAGGGAGCTGGCCCCTGCCAGCCTGGTTCTGTGCTCCTGCCACCCTGCTCTGGGCCCCTGTCTGAGCAGATGCATTGCTGGCCCTAGCGCACCACCCCTATGCCAACTCGCTCCCACTTCCCCACCACCTGCCGGTGCCATTCCCCGCTTTCCTGCCCATCACCATCGCCATTCTGGCTGCAGTGCCGGGACTGCAGAAGCCAGCCTGGCATGGCTCTGAGGACTGGGGTGATCACCTGCAATCCTCCTTAATTTCCCCTCCAGTGGAGGGAGGCAGGAACAGCCTCAGGATCCCAGGCCAGAAGGCAGAGGCTTCCAGGTGGAAGGTGGGGGAGGCTGGAGTGGAGCCAAGATAAGTAGATCCAGGAAAGCAGTTTCCTTGGTTTCAATACATGTACATTTCCATCCCTCTGCTGTTTCGTTTTTTTAGTTTCCATTTTCAATCAACACAAAACTGTCCTGGAGCAGCAATTTTACCTTTTGTGTTGAACCATTACATTTGCCATGTTTTTGGGGAGTGGGGAAAAACTGGGTCTGGCTCCTTAAAGCCAGGTTCCATTCTTAGCATATAGCTTTGGGATTGTCAGGCTAAGATTCAACATTTTGCTGAGTTTCATGTGCAGCTCTGATTTTGAACTTTGCATGTAATATTTGTGTCTGTTCATAATACTTTATAATTTAGTCATGAACAACTCAATCTTATTTATCTATTTATAATTCAAATACTGTGATTCATTTATGCTGAAATCTCATGTACTTTTTTGCAAAGTTGAGCCTAGATCCAGTCACTTCATCCAAACACTGGCCCTTTTCAGTGTCAGGACCCAGTTTCCAATTAACAAATTATCATTATTCTTATAATGGGCCACGCTGATCTCTTGGGCCTCAATTCACTCCCAACTTTTGTCATCTGTCTCTAAAAACACTGAGAACCGCTGGTTTTGATACTAGACTCAAGGCACCTCTCAGACTCAACCCACCCCTCAGAAAATGCCAGCTCTTAGCTTTCACTCATTTGTTCGCCTCAGAAAAATAATTCTGAGCAATTATTCTGTTGCAAAGAACTCAGAAGCACCATGACAGATCACAATGTTTTTGCCACTCTGGATTCCTATTTGAATCTCTGGGTTTATCTTGTGAATCATCTGTAGGTGTTTGCACATCTAACAGTGATAATATTGTTCAGCAACCTTAAAAGGATCTTACTGTACCCCATGGTGCTGTGGCATCTTGGTTGAGAAGCACTGCTGTAAGCTCCCTGAGGCAGAGACTGTCTCTTGTGTGTTTGTACAGTACCATTATAAAGTAATACAACTTATAACCGTTATTTTTAAAATTATAATCCAGTGCACTATGCCATTCATCAGTACCTTTGAGTAATACAAAACAGGAAAATCATAAGGTCACCAGGGAACCACAGGAGACATGTTGCAAGAAGGCAAAAGAATGAGAGATTTCTTCAAAGGTATGTCTACACTGAAGTACTTACTCAGCTTCTCAGTAGGATTTTGCAATGCATGCTGAGTTCCATGCTACCACTGTTATGCTGCTACAAGTACTCAAGCTGGTTAATATAAAGCTAGTTTGGGTATGTATAAACAATATGTATAGACATATCCTAAAATATACAAGTGTGTTTATCTAAAACCTCTCCTGCTTAGAGAGGAATGATTAAAGTTGATTTTTACAGTATATTCTGACAGTTATGAAGGAAATGGCACATGGCAGGTCACCCATTTTAGGGAGTTGTGTGTCTGGCATCTAAAGAATTTTTAAAATTTCAGACACATTCTTGGCATAGTTTTAGAGAATACAGCAATGAAAAAGATCTGTTAAGTCATCTAGTCTGTCTCCCTGCCAACACAGGACTATTCCCTAATGTATACTTAATTAGTTTTTTGCTGGGTCTAGTTTTAATTGCCCCAAGCTCCCACCAATTCCCTTAGGGGACTGCATTACTGGTTAAGAGAACTCAGTATCAAGAAGCTATTTCTGATATTTTATCAATATTTTCTCTTTTTTAATTTCATCCCATTATTTCAATTATGTCTTACCGTACACTCACTTACTAACAATACCTCTTCACCAGTGGCACTAATTGCCTTAAAAGATTTGTAGATTGGTTTTGAATGTCCCCTCCCTTAGTCATTGCTTCATCAAAACTTTCCAGGGCAGACTCCTAGCTTCTGCAAGTTGATGCTTGAGCAAGCTTCCTCATACTAAACCAGGTGCACTTTGCTGAGTCTCTCAAAGGCAGCGGTGCTCTCGAGTGTTATGGAGAGGCCCTGCCTTGCTACTTGCATGCAGAAATGAAGCGTCTCTCTACCTCTCCCCCAAATCCCCTAGTTTATTATTAGCTCCGTGACCCCAGTGCCAGAGTGGGTGTTTCCTGCCCTGTTTTCAATCCGGTACATATACTTGCAGCTGTAAATCAGCTTGTCTGATCAGCTCCTTGTCTGTTCTTTTTACCCAGGCACTTTCAGACTTCACTAAGCTCCACTGAGTGACAGTGTACAAACAAGAGAAATCATGACTTTGTTATCATAAGGCTGGATTTTGTTTTCAGTCATATCATGATGCAATTACGTTATTTTGTATTTACACTGCTGTTATTCAGAGGAGAGTTTAGCCCACAGGCAAAAATATAGGCAGACCACTTTGAAATATCATCTGTTTTCTTCCCCGAAGTGGCACTGTCTTTAAATGGCCTGCTTGCCGAGATGGCACAGCTTGTGCTTAAGTGGCCATTTTTATTCTAAGGGTTAAAGGTTTCTTTAGAAGACCAGTGTTTTGAAAAGAATGGCTTCATCCTGAGTCGTGTCAATTATGAAAGGTCACTCTGCACAGCCAGATAAGCTAGACCTGAAATGGCTGTTGTGTTAAAAGCTGCCAGAGGCCTTCTTAAAAACTGCTGGCACAGCAATATTAACTTTAAATTGAATAAATGTGTGTGTGTGGAGGGGGGGGGATGGAAAACTTTTCACACCCTTGTTGCTATCAAGGTCTGTCTTTCTGACATTGATTTTACTCATACAACCTGTCATTCACTGGATTTCATGCTGGAAGGCTATTTATCTAAGTGAGATATTTTTCAAAGGTTTTATTAATGTTCTGTAAAATGTCTATACAATGTTTAGAATGAACAAAGACATTCGGGTTCCTTTTGAACAATATACTCTTGCATATGCACATACTGGAAAAAAAATCAGAGATACGATATAGTAGTAATTCTCCTTTTACTTAGAGCCTGATTCCCAGAAGTGCATGAATTCAGAAGTAGTTGAAGGTGTTCAGTTCCTTTTAATACAGAAAGAAACTGAGGCACAAAGAGGTTCAGTCTGAAAATTACCACAAAACTGTGATGGAGGAGATAACTGAACTCAGAGATCTCTTGCCTTCCTACTGTCATACAAAGTTCAAGATCCATCTATTCCTTGTGTTCAGGTGCTCTATTTCAGCACTAGGAGCTATCATATAAAATATCATGGGAGCCAAGCAGCCCCAGTGCATAACCAACACGCTTCACTGTCTAACACTGGCTTTACACAAGCCACTTTGCCTCTTTGTATCTCAGTTTTTCTGCCCAGCTTTGAACTCATAGGACATTCTCCTGCTAATTGCTTTCATTATTCAAAGTGCACTACACAGCAAGTGCGACCTGTTATTATGACGCCATAATTCTAATCATCACTCAAAAAAGTCTTAAGCAATGAAGCAATGGAAGAGATGTGAGTTTGATTCTGAATTTAAAATGTTAAAAGCTAGCACACAGTTCAGTTGTCTTGATTTTTGTTTTACTTAATTAACAAATACACTATTACTATTCTGTACTTTGTCTTGTTCTGGCTATTGCTACACTCCCACCCACTCCTCAATCAGCACCTGTTTTCTCTCCTGAAAAATATGGGCCAAGACGGCTCCAACAAGATCCTTTCCTGCACTTGAGTAAAGGAAAGGATATTCAATAGGAGTTAAATTCTGCTGTCCTCAGGGAGCATTCCCAGTAACTTCAAAGTGAGTTCTGTCTAAGGGTGAGATTGGGACTTAGGTGGGAGCCAGAGGGATCCTGTACGAGCTGGAAGGCTGCTCCGACACGCTGTAATTACAATCGAGTCTGCTGGAGCGTGGTAATTGCCACACTTCAGCCAGACTCTGCATCTCGTATAACAGCATCCCCATGCTTCAAAATGGCAGCAAGGGCACTTTAACTAAAGCTCATTTGATGAGCTTTAGATATAGTGCTCCCACAGCCATTTTCAAGTGACGGGATGCTGATACACAAAACACTCTAGGAGCTTTAATTAGAGTGGCTCTCAGAGACACTTCAATTAAAGCAACACCCCCCCCACCCCCAGCTTTCCCAGAGCTTGTGTAAAAACATCCAAAGTTCTCTTGATTTCCTTTTCCGACTGACGAGTGTATTTCTCTCCATGATGCTATGTTGTGTCCAGCTTCTGATTTTCTTTGGGAGATCCAGACTCTACCACAAAATAGGGGTCATTGAAAAATCAGCACATATTTATGATGCTTTCTACTTCTGATAGTGCAGTCTTTATTTAATAGCACAGATTCCAGAAGCTAAATGTTCTTATAAATGAATGCAGGTAGGGAAGGTATTGGGATGTTTATATGCAGGCAAAGAAACAACACAGAATTATTGCAGAATCTAGCAAGCAACAGAAATGCTGAGAAGAGGCCCTGAATAAATGTTTTTGCACACACCCCAGTGAAGTACATATATCAAGAGCTGAACTGAGAGATAAGCTTGGCTTGAATTGCCAAGACCTGAGCGTGCAAAAGATTTAGCTGTAACCTCACCTCTGCCTCCAGATGGCATTGTTGCCACATCATCAGTTCCTGGCAATCCAGTCCTTATCCCATTGTTAAAGGTGTGTCCATCTGCTGGCTGTAGCTGCCAGTTTAGTCCGAGCAGATGCATTGCTGCAAGAGACACAAAGTAATGAAAAATAAATATATAAAACACAGATTAAAATGTCAAAGGGAGGGGCAGCAGCCATTTTCAATTGAACCTCTTCAGGAAAACACTGTAAAAACTGCTTGTCCAGTGGCCAAAGTAATGTGCTAAAAAGGAGGCTGGCTTACTTTGACATGGGTATATGTTTTCAATTACCATCAACTGTAAATAACAAAAAAGTGGTAGGACAAAATGTATTCCTCCTCTGAACTAAAAAAAATGGAGACAAACATTTTTACAGACATTGGCCTAATGTATTAAACAGGAGAAAATATTCCGCCAAATGAGATGTATTTCTGAATACAGTAGCTCAAAAAGAGATGGCATGTTTTCAAACTAAATACTAAGGTATGAAAATTATATTTTATTTAACATACACTGCTGCAGATTAGTTTTCAAACAGGGTTTTCTTCACTGGATGATTTAGTGCTTATTTTCATAGATTTAGATGAATATTATCAACAAACAGCTTTCATCTTAATATTGTTCTTGATTGTATGGTGCCAAACAGCTAACTTGAAAGTCTTTTTTTATTCCTTGTGTTAAATGTTGGTCTTATCTGATTGGCAAGGACTTGGGGTCTATCCTTCTGCTGCAGCAATAGAGATTTATACATGTCTTCACCTTGCATTAACTGAAGCTACCTGCATAAATCTCCATACATCCATCATATAATAACCCTGAGGTTCACTCTTTTTTCCTACTGTTCTTCAGCAGCCAACAAGGCTGCTTTTATTTAGTTGTCTGTCAGTCCACCAACATCACCAATGTCATTCACAAGAATGCACACACACAATCATGCAAAGCACTTTCAGTTAGCTACTGCTATAGAGCAGGAGAGGTTTACGTTTGTTTGAGGGGAGAATATGCCAATACTGTAGTTATGCTGTCTTTTGAAGTGCCCAATTCTGCAGTGTCACATCTGAATGAGTACAAAGGATATTTCGTACCAAATTACAAGCATCTGGAACAGGATTAAAATGCTCATAAACAGGTTGACAGTGTGCACCAAGCAAAGTGCTCAAAGATTTAAAATAGGGGTGGAAAGACAGAAATTTATCACAGGAATTGTAATTAGCAATGCTTAGGAAACTGCTCATAGTGCTATTATCTCTGAATGCATAGAATCCATTTAGGTGTGACTGACTGCTGAAAGTGCAGATTAAGAAGAAATCTTTGAACCATACAGGACTTCATACAGAAGAAGAGATGAATCCAGTGGTTTATACAACAGGACTTGGACAGGGAGAGGCACTTGCACAAATATGCCAAAATGTTAAAATAAATTAAAGTCAAGCCCAAACCATTTTTTTCAGCATTTCAGTTAAGCAAATGAACTGAAACATTATTTGTACAGTTCAAATAACGTTCAGGTGTTCCCTGACTTATATGTAGGTAACCCCTTGGAGCTGTGAGCTATCACTGCTTTGCTGCACATGGCAAAGGGCCAGGAGGATCCCTGGCAGTCAAGAGGAAGGAGAGCACCTTTTGTGTAGATGGCCCTTGCTTCCAATGTTTTCATTCAAAATTACATCTAATTTTCTATTACAATTGTTACTTTAAATGTAGGTCACTAACTTGAAGAGATGAAAATCTATTGCTTCAAGTAAGAACCTTTTTTATGACAGAAAATCCAAAAATCATAAAGAACAGCTGGTCTTTTCAGGAGAATTAGAGTTGTTAATTTATAATCATCAGGTAAATTCAAATAAGGAATTAAAAAAAAGATCTTCTTAATGTGACATTAAAACAAATCCTGATCCATCTGCTTCCAAGTGCACCAAAATTTTATTAATACATTCTACTGCTCTGTATTTTAATCATACATTCATTATTTGGTTTGAATGATTAGAGTTCAGTCCTAAGAGGGGTGGGATTTGCATGTCTACCAGAGGTAGGATGCCCATATGTCCTGGTTTGGCCAGGACAGTCCTGGATTCCATAGGCTGGTCCTGACCGATTGATCAAAAGTCCTGGGCTGGAATCCAGTGGGGAGGCAAAGCAGCATGGAGACCAGGCAGGTAGCTGGGCAGGCATTCCTACCACTGTGCAGGACCAAGGAATATAGGGACCTCAGATATGGCATCTAGATAGGGTAACCATATGTCCATGTGTCTTGCTCCTGCACAGTGGTAGTGATGCCTGCCTGCCTGCCCGCCTGCCCGACACACCATGCTGTTTCGCCTTCTCACCAGACTCCAGCCCAGGACTTTTGACCAACCAGCTGGGACTGGCCTAAGGAATCAGAGACTGTACCAGCCAAACTGGGACATATGGTCACCCTAAACATAGGTCTCTAGAGACACTAAGATGACAGTTACCTTCGTGTCCCATCTTTCCATCATTCAAATTTACAATGAACTTCCAATAAGGAAAGTCAGATGGTGTGAAATCTGGGGGTATGTTCATCTTTTACTAGCAATACAGTAAAGGAAATCATATGTAATATGAACCTGTAGGAAAGCTCCAGGTTTGTATTGCATGTTGCTGCATTTGAAAGGCAGTTGAGTTGTGAAAGCAAGGAGTGGTCTATTCTCCCCTGCTTCAGAAAGCACTGATGGTAAATTTATATGATTAACCTTTTGTACCATTAATCAAACAAGAATGCCTGCAGCAAAGGAATAAGCATAAACCCATTTCTAATTAGAAACAATAGGATACATTCAGGAGTTGTGTGCACATGCATCACAGTAAAATTTGGCTGAGGGTATGTCCTTAGCCCAGTCAGCCTCAGCTCAGTCCCACAGTCTATTTTGGTTCTTTTAACACTAAAGCAAAGAGAACATTAACACTGTGACTTAGTTATCTTTGTCACCCACATGTTTTACTGTTTGTTAGGGTCCAGCATGGCTCCTCCTTATGAATCCCCATCAGGCATCTCTGTTTGGATCCATGTATTGGATCCGTGTTTTCTAAACTTTCCTGGGTCTAAGCAAGCAGTAGCCACAATTTTTGGTTCTGGCACCTTGGGCACATATTCCCTGTTTTTCACTATTTCTAGCAAATGGAGCTGCTTTTGACTACCCAAGCCA